GTGCACTTTAACATTTATCAACCAAAGAGGTATACCGGAAACATAAAAGTCGTGAAATAAGATTTATCTATCGGTAACACATTTAGTGTTCAAAAGTTTGATCGTGACTAATATGAAAGTGAAAGGCATTCCACGAATGGAATTCAAACTACCTTAGATCTATTTTAGAGATGGGAAAGTACCTTCCTATTGTATTCCAAGAAAACACGTGTTGAAAAGCGTGACCACACCGGTCACGCTACCGAACTAGTCAAAAGGGAAAGCAAGATGGAAGGCCAGCGTCGCAAGACGATCATTTTGTTAGCGGTGAAAATATGGTTGGTAATCCTTTCAGTGATGAGCTGCAAAGGACATCAAGGTACACCGATTGACAACAGTGGTATTGTAAAACTTTTGACAATTTCATCTGTTTTAGTTTGTGATCGGACGACTTCATATGATTTTCCATGTGTCGTTATACGGACGCCGGAAGTGGAACAGAAAGCGAAAATGCACTTTGTTGAGCATTTTGTATCATTGCTTTTGTACTAGGTTTTGAAAGATGAGGATAGCTCTGTAGAATTTCCCTACCAAGGTTAAAATCAAATTTAACATATGTTTATGACGCCATAAAGTTTTAGATCTGGAAACAGCAAAATTATGCAGATTAAAGGAGGAACTGTGTAAATCGCCGAATGCCTACTCGTTGAAAAGTAGGATCTAGTCAAAACAATGAGCGGATCATGGTTTAAACAAAACGTCAACCCTTCTCCCACCCCCAACGGTGCGAGGCGGTGCAGCTCAGTTTCGTTTGAAACTGGATCTTAACTACAGGATTTTTTACTTTACTTACGCTTAGGTGATGAATACATCCAAGATGGCATTATATTTACTTCACAGTACAAACAGAGGTTAGATCTTTCACTTCCTAGATAGGGCTATCATTTCCACTCTTTGTTAGCCTGGAAGGCTAACAAAGTATATATTGTTAATATCAGAAGACCAGCGTTCTACTTGATGATTCGATAGATACGTGTCCTAGCTCTGTCTTATAATTCTCATTTTCTTTAACTATTTTCTCACAGCAACAACACATGTGTTCCTGCCCACCCTCCTCCCTTTATGGATAAGTCAAAATGCCAACCATACTTCAAGACCGAAAACGGATACTGCTCCAAAACACTGGGAAGACGGCTGGTGTTTGGCTCAATCGCCAACCAAAAAGAAAAAGAACAAAGGCTCGTGGACTTTGCCATGGCAAAGGCTGCACTGCGAGTGTTTCAGGAGTTCGAAATTTCTAAATCCTGTATCAGAGCAGTGGATCATATCTACTGCAACCACTACTTTCCGGAGTGTGACAACACCTCGGCAACACTCCTACCGCGGCCAGTATGCAGGGAAGCCTGCGAAGTTTTGGTCCTGCGGTATTGCAAAACAGAATGGTCGAAGGCTCAAGAACTGAATAAGATGCTGTCAGCTTCACAGTTTCGGAGCCAAGTGAAGCATTTTGATCTGATCAACTGCACCGAGCTACCAGGACAAGAAGGGGGTAACATCCCCGAGTGCTATTATCCCAAGCAATTCATGGAAGGTAAAGTCCAATCGTTTAAATAGCAGAATTTGCTTTCGGCAATAATAGTGTGGTTAAAAACATTTGGCTCTAGCAAGAGCAAGGGGACGCTTAGCATTTGTGCCAGCCTTTGGTTTTCTGTTTTGTATTTCTTTAACTGGGGGGTCTACCTTGTGAGGTTAGTAGATTATTCGGTTAAGCTCAGAATTGAGAGACACGTACGTCTTGTACAGCTCATTTGTCCGAGTTGTTGTTCTATATTATGTTCTTGGGAAAGACATCTTGCACTCGCGCAATGATAAAATGCCGAGGTAACTTGCAAAAATGGGGTAGCACCCATCCAGGGGAGAGTAGTAACCGCTATAGTCAATTCATGCTACTTAATGCTGCAAAATCAAGGGTAACTGGTATCAAAGGACATGCACAATCCGGTGAGCCATTCAAAATTCAACCAATTCATGCGGCCATCGCAAAGCGCGGGAAAACGTGCGCGGTTGAGTCACGATTGGCTTTGGTTTTACTTTTCCATGACAGGAGACGCGACTTTTTTAGCCAATCGCTTGGCGCGTAGTAATGCAAAACCAAAATAAATGCGAATTACTTTCGACGCTCAAGTGAACACTGCTCTTATGTTTGTCTAACGTTTTCTTTCTGCCTTAATTTGTTACAGCACCATCAGGAGTTGATGAAAGAAAGCGAATCACCACTGGTGAGTACTGACAAGTCAAGCTGTAAAAACCTATAATATACAAATCTATGTCAATGTACGTTAATTAGTACATACCGCTGACCTTGTCTGTCATTAATTCAACAGAAGCTTGTTTCTATGGCGACGGACAGTTGTATCGCGGAAACGTGTCTGAAACACTGTCAGGTTACACGTGTCAAGCCTGGACTTCCCAGTGTCCTCACCGACACCACAGAACACCAGACAACTTCCCTGAACTGAAAAATGCCGGTAATGCATGCCGGAACCCTGGTGGTCAGGCCCCTCACGGTCCTTGGTGCTACACTAAAGATCGCAGGGTACGATGGGAGTACTGTTCCATTGAGGAGTGCAATGACCTCGCTAAATATTGAAGGTGACCGTGTCCGAGGTGCAGAGAAAAAATTAGGACTTGTAAAACTTTTTTCAGATTTAATATTCTGCAGTTCTTATTCAACAGTATCATTGACGCACTCTTGTATGAAGTTAAGTCGTCGGTTGATCTCGGCAAATAAATGTTGAATGTTCTAACTGCAAATCACTAGCGTTATGTCACAGATATCAGAGTGAAAACAAGTTCATTATTATTGACTTCAAAGCTGCAGTCAGAAACCTAAGCAAAAAAAAAAGAAGAAAGAAAAACCACAAGAATATCACTGCCTTGCGTCACCCATTAGAATGGTCACAAACACGCACTAAACTGAAGCATGATTGAAAAACGTTACTCTGGTTTAAAAATGTAAAAATGTTAGTAAAAATTCTTTTTGTAAAAGTCCCAAAGTCCCCCTTAGGGCTAAATTTAAAAATTCGTGCGGCAAATACATACCATCATCACGGTTCAGCGGATTCCTACAAGTGTTTTTTTTTCCCATGCCTCTAAAATACGTCTGTTGCGCCAATTTGTGCTTGTACGTAAGATCTTTGAAGATTCCCAGGAGATGGTGTGGCCAGAGTGTAAACAATATCCTTTCTTGACGTCACTGTCTGTCGACAAGATGATGACCAACTCTCCACTAAAGTCTATCGCAAACCGACACACACAGAAAGATATCTCTCACCATCCGGCTGCTCACAAAAGGGCTGTGGTTAAGTCTCTGACTGATCGTACAAAAGCTATCCCGTCTTCTGTTGACCAA